GAATTATAAATACGTATTAGCACTTGTACGATCGATGTCTAATCCCAAGACAGCGGATTTCATGGATTTTACAGTAGAACTGTGTCCAACATTAATTAATATGTTTGCCATGTTTATAAATATACAAAATATTAGATAATGAGTGCATATTACAATGTTTAAGTGATAAGAGAAATCTTTTTTAACTGATACCATGAACGTTTCGTTTTGCACAAGAATCCGCAAGTCTACGCATAATGTAAGTGATCAATTCATTTCTCGTGTGCCGATAATTTAATAGAGAATATATTAATTTTGCGAAGTGAAACTCTGTTCAATATCAAATATTAATTTATAATAACGTTATTTTAAATCAGGGGCAACTGACGATATCGAACCCCTGTGGGTAGATCCGGGCTAGGGGGTTGAATGTCGTCTGATAATGCCATAACTCGTCGATTTAACCCTGTTACCTTCATAAAACCCCACAGATTACACGAAGACAGTTATTAGACCAACTGTCTTTGGCCGTCTGTCAGCTGTCCAGCAGCCGTCAGACGTAGCCAACGATTCCGTTTGCTTACGAGCCGTCTGCGTGATTACGCTTGCCCTTCCTCGCGTTCGAACGACGACTCGACGGCTGCGTGTCGCAGTCGCACTCTTCATTTGTCGTCCCGTCGGTTCTTCGCTCGTCTCCTGTTCGTCGCCCGGTCGCCGCGAACTGAAACATTCAAAAAACCGAGTTTCGCTTGCCGCAAGGCCTCCCGCAGGTTCTCCACGCTGCCAAGCTGGTTCGGGGTAAGAAGCCTCGTCTCGAGTTTGCCGGTTCGCGCGCCGCACGCGTCGCATGCGTACGGTACAGGCATCGCGGACGGGAACATGTCTTTCATGTTTTGTCCGTCGGTCTCGTCGCCGCTGCCACCCGGGCAGTACGGCACGAATACCACGGGAATGAAGCCAAGCTGGCCAATGACAGGGATAGACGTGGTGCTCGTCGTGGTGGCTGTATCGTTGCCAGGTTCGACTAGGTAACAGGGACAAGTTTGCGGGTCTGGCCCTATGGACTGTTGATAGGGCTTGTCGTCGATCGGGCTCGGTGGCTGAACGCCGATCGCAGTGAACTCGGACTTGGATTTGTAAGCATTCTCGGATAATTCGTTTACCTGTTTCACGATACTACTTCCAATAGCCGGTCGATACTTTACACCGGATTCGCGGCTTGTCTCTAATTCGACCACCGGTTCGCTCACTTTCGTCACTTGCTGGGGGAACTTCCTGTCCTCGCGTGAGCTCTGTTGGAATCGACCCTCGCCTGAGTACTCCAGACCGCTGGAAGTGTCTATTCTGTTGTAACCCGTTTGAGGCCTCTGCGTCTTTCGAGCTCCTTCGAATCTATCTCGATCTGATTGTTCTACGTATCTATGGGACTCCTTACGTTGAGCTTGCAGCAGGGAATTGATCTCGTCTGCCTTTTGGTTCACCTGTTCTTTGTACTGATTCTTGTACTGCTGCGCGTCTTCCACGCCGAAGGGGCTGCTTATTTTAAATGGATAGGCGAAAGCTGTGGATTGAGTATTCTTCTCGTTGTACGTTTCGTCTTTGCTGTACTCCGATGTGAATTTAGTGTTCGACTGGTCTACTTGTTTCAGTCCGAAATCTCCATTATAAGGAGTTGGCGTTGTCGGTTCGTAATATTTGATCGGATATTGAAATTTTAGGGGTCCTTCGTGTCGCGGACGGGTCGTTGGTTTTGCTCCGGGGACGTAGTCTGGGTCACCGGGCCAGGGACCATCGGGACCAGGAGAGCCAGTCGGCCATGGACCGTCTGGACCAGCCGGTCCTTCGCCGCCTACTCCTCCTACTCCTCCTACTCCACCGACACCGCCTACGGGACCTTCGGGACCTCCAGGTCCTCCTGGTCCGCCGGGACCATCTGGGCCTTGCGGACCATCCGGGCCATTTGGCCAGGGACCGTTCGGGCCATCGGGACCTACGCCGCCAGGTGGACCTTCAGGTGCTGGAGGATATCCTGGATATGGAGGATACGGCGGCTGACCTGAAATTTAAAACACACATTAAAATGATTTACTGTTTGTTTGATTATTTAAATTATATGTTGGAGAAGACGTTTTTTCTTGGTTCGTAGTTCTTCGCAGCGAAGACGTACCTGGTATCGGGATTCCAGGATGACCGGGGTGTCCGGGATGTCCAGGTTTTCCTGGCTTGCCAGGAGCTCCGGGATACGGTGGTGTACCTGGATATCCTGGATGCGGTGGTATTGGTTGCGTTCCAGGAGTACCGGGTGTACCTGGAGTTCCAGGAACTCCAGGAGTACCTGGATAACCAGGATGAGGTGGAATAGGAGGAGTGCCAGGATGACCAGGCTTACCAGGTTTGCCAGGTTTGCCAGGCTTGCCTGGTTTTCCAGGTGTACCGGGAATACTTGGATGACCAGGAGTTCCAGGATAACCTGGGTAACCTGGAGTTCCGGGATACCCAGGATGTGGTGGTATCGGCGGGGTTCCCGGCGTACCGGGTGTGCCTGGTATGCCGGGTGTTCCAGGATAGCCTGGATGTCCTGGTATCGGCGGTGTCCCGGGTATTCCGGGTGTGCCTGGTGTGCCGGGTGTCCCAGGATAGCCTGGATGTCCTGGTATCGGTGGTGTGCCGGGTATTCCAGGGGTGCCTGGAATTCCAGGTGTCCCAGGATAGCCGGGATGTCCTGGTATCGGTGGGGTCCCGGGCGTTCCTGGTGTACCAGGATAGCCTGGTATTGGTGGAGATCCAGGATAGCCTGGATGGCCTGGTATCGGCGGTGTCCCGGGTATTCCGGGTGTGCCTGGTGTGCCGGGTGTCCCAGGATAGCCTGGATGTCCTGGTATCGGCGGTGTCCCGGGTATTCCAGGTGTGCCTGGAGTTCCAGGTGTCCCAGGATAGCCGGGATGTCCTGGTATCGGCGGGGTCCCGGGCGTTCCTGGTGTACCAGGATGGCCTGGTATTGGTGGTGTTCCAGGATAGCCCGGATGTCCTGGTATCGGCGGTGTCCCGGGTATTCCAGGTGTGCCTGGAGTGCCAGGTGTCCCAGGATAGCCTGGATGTCCGGGTATTGGTGGGGTGCCGGGTATTCCAGGTGTGCCCGGAATGCCAGGGTGACCAGGCTTTCCCGGATGACCCGGTTTCCCAGGATGGCCAGGTTTCCCAGGGATACCAGGTATGCTTGGTGTGTCAGGATATCCAGGGTGTCCCGGTATTGGTGGTATTCCAGGGGTTCCAGGAGTTCCAGGTGTGCCCGGAATGCCAGGGTGACCAGGCTTTCCCGGATGACCTGGTTTCCCAGGATGGCCAGGTTTCCCAGGTCTACCAGGTTTTCCAGGGGTACTGGGATGTCCGGGTTCGGGGGGATATGGCACAGTTCCGGGAGAATCGGGAATTTCTGGGGTACTAGGGTGTGATGGTATGGTCGGAGGCCTTCCGGGCTTGCCTGGCTTACCAGGCTTGCCAGGATGTCCAGGATATCCGGGTTGCGGCGGCGTTCCGGGATGACCAGGTATTCCAGGCGTGCCCGGTGTTCCCGGCGTACCAGGGTGTCCTGGATATCCAGGTTGCGGTGGCGTTCCAGGGTGTCCAGGTGTACCGGGTGTCCCTGGCGTTCCTGGGTGTCCGGGGTATCCAGGTTGCGGTGGCGTTCCAGGATGACCAGGCGTTCCCGGCGTGCCCGGGGTTCCTGGCGTGCCAGGATGTCCGGGATATCCAGGTTGCGGCGGCGTTCCAGGATGACCAGGCGTTCCCGGCGTACCAGGATGTCCGGGATATCCAGGTTGCGGTGGCGTTCCAGGATGGCCAGGTGTTCCAGGCGTGCCAGGATGTCCGGGATATCCAGGTTGCGGTGGTGTTCCAGGATGGCCAGGTGTTCCAGGCGTGCCAGGATGTCCGGGATATCCAGGTTGCGGTGGTGTTCCAGGATGGCCAGGTGTTCCAGGCGTGCCAGGATGTCCGGGATATCCAGGTTGCGGTGGTGTTCCAGGATGGCCAGGTGTTCCAGGCGTGCCAGGATGTCCGGGATATCCAGGTTGCGGTGGTGTTCCAGGATGGCCAGGTGTTCCAGGCGTGCCAGGATGTCCGGGATATCCAGGTTGCGGTGGTGTTCCAGGATGGCCAGGTGTTCCAGGCGTGCCAGGATGTCCGGGATATCCAGGTTGCGGTGGTGTTCCAGGATGGCCAGGTGTTCCAGGCGTGCCAGGATGTCCGGGATATCCAGGTTGCGGTGGTGTTCCAGGATGGCCAGGTGTTCCAGGCGTGCCAGGATGTCCGGGATATCCAGGTTGCGGTGGTGTTCCAGGATGGCCAGGTGTTCCAGGCGTGCCAGGATGTCCGGGATATCCAGGTTGCGGTGGTGTTCCAGGATGGCCAGGTGTTCCAGGCGTGCCAGGATGTCCGGGATATCCAGGTTGCGGTGGTGTTCCAGGATGGCCAGGTGTTCCAGGCGTGCCAGGATGTCCGGGATATCCAGGTTGCGGTGGTGTTCCAGGATGGCCAGGTGTTCCAGGCGTGCCAGGATGTCCGGGATATCCAGGTTGCGGTGGTGTTCCAGGATGGCCAGGTGTTCCAGGCGTGCCAGGATGTCCGGGATATCCAGGTTGCGGTGGTGTTCCAGGATGGCCAGGTGTTCCAGGCGTGCCAGGATGTCCGGGATATCCAGGTTGCGGTGGTGTTCCAGGATGGCCAGGTGTTCCAGGCGTGCCAGGATGTCCGGGATATCCAGGTTGCGGTGGTGTTCCAGGATGGCCAGGTGTTCCAGGCGTGCCAGGATGTCCGGGATATCCAGGTTGCGGTGGTGTTCCAGGATGGCCAGGTGTTCCAGGCGTGCCAGGATGTCCGGGATATCCAGGTTGCGGTGGTGTTCCAGGATGGCCAGGTGTTCCAGGCGTGCCAGGATGTCCGGGATATCCAGGTTGCGGTGGTGTTCCAGGATGGCCAGGTGTTCCAGGCGTGCCAGGATGTCCGGGATATCCAGGTTGCGGTGGTGTTCCAGGATGGCCAGGTGTTCCAGGCGTGCCAGGATGTCCGGGATATCCAGGTTGCGGTGGTGTTCCAGGATGGCCAGGTGTTCCAGGCGTGCCAGGATGTCCGGGATATCCAGGTTGCGGTGGTGTTCCAGGATGGCCAGGTGTTCCAGGCGTGCCAGGATGTCCGGGATATCCAGGTTGCGGTGGTGTTCCAGGATGGCCAGGTGTTCCAGGCGTGCCAGGATGTCCGGGATATCCAGGTTGCGGTGGTGTTCCAGGATGGCCAGGTGTTCCAGGCGTGCCAGGATGTCCGGGATATCCAGGTTGCGGTGGTGTTCCAGGATGGCCAGGTGTTCCAGGCGTGCCAGGATGTCCGGGATATCCAGGTTGCGGTGGTGTTCCAGGATGGCCAGGTGTTCCAGGCGTGCCAGGATGTCCGGGATATCCAGGTTGCGGTGGTGTTCCAGGATGGCCAGGTGTTCCAGGCGTGCCAGGATGTCCGGGATATCCAGGTTGCGGTGGTGTTCCAGGATGGCCAGGTGTTCCAGGCGTGCCAGGATGTCCGGGATATCCAGGTTGCGGTGGTGTTCCAGGATGGCCAGGTGTTCCAGGCGTGCCAGGATGTCCGGGATATCCAGGTTGCGGTGGTGTTCCAGGATGGCCAGGTGTTCCAGGCGTGCCAGGATGTCCGGGATATCCAGGTTGCGGTGGTGTTCCAGGATGGCCAGGTGTTCCAGGCGTGCCAGGATGTCCGGGATATCCAGGTTGCGGTGGTGTTCCAGGATGGCCAGGTGTTCCAGGCGTGCCAGGATGTCCGGGATATCCAGGTTGCGGTGGTGTTCCAGGATGGCCAGGTGTTCCAGGCGTGCCAGGATGTCCGGGATATCCAGGTTGCGGTGGTGTTCCAGGATGGCCAGGTGTTCCAGGCGTGCCAGGATGTCCGGGATATCCAGGTTGCGGTGGTGTTCCAGGATGGCCAGGTGTTCCAGGCGTGCCAGGATGTCCGGGATATCCAGGTTGCGGTGGTGTTCCAGGATGGCCAGGTGTTCCAGGCGTGCCAGGATGTCCGGGATATCCAGGTTGCGGTGGTGTTCCAGGATGGCCAGGTGTTCCAGGCGTGCCAGGATGTCCGGGATATCCAGGTTGCGGTGGTGTTCCAGGATGGCCAGGTGTTCCAGGCGTGCCAGGATGTCCGGGATATCCAGGTTGCGGTGGTGTTCCAGGATGGCCAGGTGTTCCAGGCGTGCCAGGATGTCCGGGATATCCAGGTTGCGGTGGTGTTCCAGGATGGCCAGGTGTTCCAGGCGTGCCAGGAATTCCAGGAGTGCCAGGATGTGCAGGATATCCAGGTTGCGGTGGAGTTCCTGGATGGCCAGGCGTTCCCGGCGTGCCAGGAGTTCCCGGCGTACCAGGATGTCCGGGATATCCAGGTTGCGGTGGTGTTCCGGGGTGGCCCGGATATCCAGGTTGCGATGGCGTTCCGGGATGACCAGGTGTTGCAGGCGTGCCAGGAGTGCCAGGATGTCCAGGATAACCAGGATGGCCCGGGGTTCCAGGCGTGCCAGGAGTTCCTGGCGTTCCAGGTTGTCCAGGATATCCAGGTTGTCCAGGATATCCAGGTTGTCCAGGATATCCAGGTTGCGGTGGCGTTTCGGGATGGCCTGGTGTTCCGGGCGTACCAGGATATCCGGGTTTCGGTGGCTTTCCGGGATGGCCCGGTGTTCCAGGCGTACCAGGAGTTCCCGGCGTACCAGGGTATCCGGGATATCCGGGTTGTGGTGGCGTTCCAGGATGTCCAGGTTTTCCGGGTGTCCCTGGCGTTCCGGGGTGTCCGGGGTATCCCGGTTGCGGTGGCTTTCCTGGTCGTCCTGGATGTCCCGGTGTTCCAGGTGTGCCGGGAGTTCCCGGCGTTCCAGGTTGTCCGGGATATCCTGGTTGTGGTGGCGTTCCGGGGTATCCAGGATATCCTGGCTGTGGTGGAGTTCCGGGATGCCCTGGAATACCTGGTGTGCCAGGTGTTCCCGGTGTACCAGGATGTCCTGGCTTACCTGGTGTGCCAGGTGTACCTGGTTTACCAGGAATGCCGGGTGTTCCAGGATAAGGTGGCCTTCCTGGTATACCTGGTTGGCCAGGAGTTCCTGGATATCCAGGTTTTCCAGGTTTACCAGGAGTCCCCGGATGTCCTGGGTAACCCGGCTGCCCCGGAGTTCCTGGGTAGCCTGGTTGTCCCGGATATCCTATTATTCCAATCAAGACAATCATGAAAATCCCATCTCGCATTGTCCATTCTATATTTACTTGAAGTGCAATATTAATATGTACCTGGTTCACTAGGATATCCTGGTTGCTGTGGAGGATATTGAGGATACCCAGGCGATACTGGTGTTCCACCGCTAGTTGATCCATTTGTGCCTATGTTACATAATTACAGATTATACTTCTCACTTATTCGATCATTGCAAATAATACTCATCACTAAACTGTACGTACCTGTTCCTGGTGGCCCCGTTCCATCAAAGTGTTTACATATCTCCGGGAAATACAAGTCTTTCCATTCGGTAATTACACCATGATGCTCGTGCCCTTCCGAATCATCCTGATGATGGCTCGGGTCGTGTTCATGGTAGAACAATTCTACCGATTTCCCTGGCTGGACCACTCGGTATCCCCAGCCATCGCTTATATAAAACGTACTTTTCAGCTTTCCGAAAGGATCTATGTACCCATAGCATCCATACGTAATGTCATCTGGTCCACGTACTTCATGGTGAAACTGACCATTCTCGCTCACTTCGTACCCATAATTGTATGCATCTGTTAAGAAGATTAATAACGCGTTTAGACATCACAAAAGGCTCCTCTGTTTTGTAACGTTCCATAAAAAATGGGTCTTACTAGAATAGAAGTCTTGATTTAGGTACTGAGTTTTTTGATCATCACTAATGCTCAGTACCACTTCTCTACTCTGCCTGCTTCCTTCCTGCTGTGTGCATTGCAACAGAGTTGTGGCAATCACCTGTAACAAACGAAATTACAATTAATTATGCATATCACTTATGCTAATATTCTTTCATTCTTGTTATTTAGTGTATATAAATTTATAAAAATTATTAAAATAAATGAGTATAATTCTTTATTCAAAGCATTATGTTGCTCTTTATAAATGTTAACTTTTCTCATTTCCTAGTTGTAAATTACATTTATAAATTAATTTATGAACATTTTATAACAGAGTTAAATGGCGAGCTGACCAATATTCCATTCCACTTTGTTCCCCAACTGGTTGACTAATCTTGTTCACCTTTTAAAACGTTAGGGAAAATCCACCTCCAACCTGACACATCATCTTAAATGTCAAGTCGATCACTAGACCAGTTTGCCTGGCATATACTGATAATTACATTCATATTTCCCCTTAGAAATGAGAATATTCACTACTAAAAATGAGGAGTAGAGAACCTTTTTAATAAAGATTTCATAAAATTCCAATCCAGTTGTTTAAAGTAAAGAAAGTACGAGTTAATCTCTTCGTGCTAATTCCCTATTAGTACGAGCACAACGTTCTCGTCTGCTGCTGCTGCTGTTGACATCAGCTTTTAATCTTTGCACGTCAGAGTGGCCGTAAAAGTCAGTCCGTCGAGTTCTCGCGCGAAAAAAGCCTTTCTCGTCCGCGGTTGCCGTTTAGGGGTAATTAAAAGCAAAGGTCGCGTAATCTTTCCCGGGGACATCGCAGCGTTACGTAATGGGACGTCAGCTAAACCTCTTAAAGACGTAAATTATTGTTATTACAATTTAAACTTTCGTTTTTTCATTCTCATCCCGTACTTTCAAATAGCCTAGCATTACCGTTCGTTTCGATAATAAAACAGGACGAAAGTTAATCCTCTCTTCGTCGCTCGAGCTCTGCTTATATACCGACTGATTAAATAAGGAAATTAGGTATGAAGCTGTAAAACAAATTGGAAATTGAGGAGGTTTAATAAATAATTTGAATTTCTCACAGCTCGTTAAACGAGACGATAAATAAGATTCAACGTTGAAGCTGTTGAACTGTTCAAGTAATGATGCCGATTACCTGAAGTAATGCTACGATAATAATTAATATGTAAATTATGCGTTTGACAGGATATTTATTTCTATTTAACAACTTCCTTACTTTGTCAACAGATAGCCAAGTGAATGGAGATATAATCCTGTAGACGTTTTCTCGTTTAACGCGTTAATACACGTTTAGGGTGATCAGGTAATTGTGATCGATGGTCGCACTGTCGCTAGTTCCACCCACTTGAAAGCATGACTGAAACGCTACTTTATTCTACTCGGTGTCGACGATTCTATTCAGATTAGATTGATGACTCCCGTGTATCTAATCACGGATTTCTGTTATAGGACGCAATGATTTATACGCAGAGGTAAAAGCATAGGTGACTTAAGGAAAAAATGAAACCGATACAAATTACTATTGGGCAACTGTTTGCAGTTTCTACTTTTACATATTTTCTGTAAATTGTTTATGAAATCCGTGTTTCATGACGATTGGAATCTCATGTTGGATTGCCTGCAGAATTGATGGAATTGTGCATTCTTCTTCAGGTTTCATTCACATGAAAATTGCGATAGTCATTTATCAGTGTCATCATGTTTCAAGTTTAATTGACATTCAAATAAAACATAGTTTGATCTGAAAAATACTATTTTAATTATAGTAATAATTAGTACCAAGTTCTTAAGTCTATAATGGCTCGTGGAGCTTATGACGTCTCCCAGATGAGATAAAAAACTGTGCCCGGTCCTCTCTCGGGGCAACTAGTACAGTCAATAGACTCTGGCAGTCCAAATTAATTTTTGTCTAACAAGCCTGAAATGTGTTAGTCAGGTTTTTCAGGATAGAATCAAAATTCTACTAATTCCAGATGGGACTTTGGTTTGCATAAACGCTGCCTATTCATCACTATACTTATTCGGTAAAAGTGATTTCTAATTTTTCACTTTCTTCCCGCACACAGTGAGAATCGTGTCTATTTATGTTACTCGGATCTCTCGCAGACGGAGACGAGACCCGAAAACAAATTGTTTCTCCGTGACGCACTCGAGAAATCAATCTCGTCGCCAGCCACGTAGTTTCGGCCATGAATAATAAATCGTACGGTGGATCGGTTGCTCGGATAAAGCGTGAACATTTCACAAAGACGGACTCGGTTGAATGTACACGAGGCCGAAATTGATGCTGAGGTGGAGCTGGGTTTTTGCTTTTAGAATTTCATTTAAAATCCAATAAAGCTGTTCTACTATAAAAATCCGATAAATTCATTTCATTACAAGAACTCGGCTACAAAACCTCTGGGCATCGATACAGACTGATCTCATGTATGATCACATAAGATTGAATATAAAATGACAAAAAAAAGGCAGTGGGTATAAATTGGGACATTTACAATAGCTGCAGTGTAGCTTGGAAGAAAAATTCTCCTATGAGAGACAGAATGAGATTTCTCAATGCTTCCTCCACAGTTTATGTCACGTCTTATTGTGATGGTCCCTCTATAAGGGACAATACTGACCTGGATCAACGCTGGCTTCGACCAGTAATAATACGAGCTTCCAGTAGGAGAAGAGAGGATTTATTAGATCCATTGAAGCGTTGAAAATTGGAAAAGCAATAATAGTATGTCTTTAGATAAAATTTATGACTTGTTTACGACGGTTTCGTAACACACACGTAATTTGAAATTGATTTCCTAAAAACGTTTGACCTTTACATGAAAATTCCTCAATCGTTTCGATGAATGGTTTCATCTAGTGGCCTAAATGACCATGAAAAGTGGCACGTCCGCGCATCCTGCTAGTACGTTCTTTCTCTCGATCGATGATGTCACTGCGGCCGTCGTTCCACCCACGAAAAGGGAAAGTGAGACCCGGCGGAGCTCCTCTTTCTCCCCTGCGACGCACCGCGCGCGGTCACGTGTGGTGGGAAAGGTTAACATATGCTAACGGGCGACCTGCCGTGAATCAACCGTCGTCGTCGTCGTCGTCGTCGTGGTGTTCGTCTCCAAGCGATGTTAATCCTTCTGGTATTCGTGCCGGCGCGATATTTTAGTGGACAATGGTAAATCAACGGATCGGACACCCCAGGCGGTAACGCGGCTCGAACACTGTCAAAGATCGCTATCGCAGCGCGGTATTGCGCGGGCGGGAGGTTTTCGCGGCGTCTCGAGGACGTCCAGGACCGGAGGTTGATGGATTACCAAGCGGTTACCTCAATGAAACCAGATTTTTCTCCAAGGGATTCATTTCACAAACTTTCCCTCGTATCAAGTTCGGTTTCCAAGAATTCAAAACTGGAGCAGTCGGATTTGCAGTTATTTTAGTGAGGATTAGATCAGAAGGACTCATGTCAGGCAGAGCTTGCCGTCCATAGAGTCTCATTTTTAGTATTTTAGAAAAACCACAAATTGACGAAATGCTTGGTTTTTATTGAGATAATCATTGAATAGGGCATTTGAAATTTGCAGAGGCGATTTAGATTGCGAATCTCATCGCGATGCTCGTGCGACCCCACGTGAGGCGCCTAACCGGACCGTGAGCGATTAGATTCGCGATAGAACCCATGAAAAGCTTCTCCTGACGCGTGCATATTAATAATAATGCTAGAGGGATAGGCGCCGCACGTTTATTGCCTCGCGTTACGTTTGACGAGCGTTTTACGAGATAGAAGGCGCTTGGAATTCATTCCTTCTTGCGATAAAAAAAACTGGCAATCGGTCATAAGTTACAGGGAATAAATCTGCAGGCTTGTATCAATAGCATAAATCCCAACTGACGTTGATGATTGCCAATTAAGGGTCACAGATGAAAGAACGAATTGCGACTCTCTGTATTCTCTCTTTTCGTTTATTGCGTGGCCAATCAGTTATTGAATTGTTTTATCCTATAAACGAATCTTTTATTGGCATCGCAGTGATTGGATAGAAAATCGATCTGAATGCTTGACTGTTTTATTAAACAAGTTGTAAATTATCGTTCGTTTCGAGTGGTTTAGACGTTTCTAATTAGGGTCAGGCTCAGAGGTGGGCTTTTTGACTCTAGAGGACATATTTATTCCTGTCTTCACGAAAGTCCATAACAGTTTTGTGCAGCTTGGTGGTAGTTAACTATTAATACGTAGATCGTAGTGGCGAAAATATGGAAAGCATTGAAGAGAAAGAGAGACATAAGGACAGGTCTTTGCTGCTATGGACTCTCGTGACGACGGATATAGATTAGTAATGAAGGATACGTATAATTTTTCATAATTCACTGTTTGTGTTTGCGAAAAGAATTGATTTTAATTAACAAATAAGAAATTTAACAATAATTTCGTTATTTATAATAATAAAATGTAATTTCGAACGAAATGAAGATGTCTTACCAACGAGATAAAAAGTCTTTAGATTATTTATTTACGATAATGATCGCGTTTCGATGTAACGACTCCTCCGCAAGGGCGCAACATCCGTATGCAAATAGTAAATGAAAGTGGAGAACGAGATTACACGCTAACGGACAGGGTACACGCGTACGGTTGCGTAATCGTGACGCGGCTGGTATAATCTGCCTCAGACGATCGTTCCTCTTCCTTTTCAGAGACACGAAATTGTAACCGGCGTTCGCACAATTTAATTAACGACACCTGTCAGCCCGGTGGCCCATGATTATGCACAGAGTCTTTTTCATAATCCAGTTTCACTCTGTAACTTCGTTGAATTCAACAAGTACTCATTGTTGTGTCACTTCCCTCGATAAAGAGATTGTCTTATCCGTCGGCGGTAGAGAAATTTAGAAAATTCGCGCTATTTCGATTTTATCAGATTCAGGGGACGTCAGATTTAATTGTCCTCTTGCCAAAGAGTTACGAAGGCAGTGCAAAAAAAAGTAGAAAATGAAAGAACCGAGAATATGGAGTAGATCCGTCAAGGTCAGAGTTAGGGGATTTTGGAAATCGTGATCCGGTCAGGTCGTGGAACCGCGGACCGGAACAAATTAACTGAGCTTTTGTATTTAACTAGCCGTATCAAAGCGTTAAACGCTGTATCTCGTCGGGATTTGTAAACAGTACGAGGGGATCGCATCTGTAGATAATTTCCTCAGATCCGAAAGATAGCAGAGTAGCAGACTATAGTTCAACCGGTAGTCGTCAATCATTGCCAGACTTTCGATAGAAGCCGTCTGGCAAATGGAAGATCTGCTAACCATTGACCGCCTATTATTTCACAACCCCTCCGCTCTTTTTCCCAGCCTCCGCTACTTATCGATCACCCATCCCTACTGCACTTTATCCGTAGAAAAGATTACAATCCGACAATT